GAGAGAGAGAGAGCGAGTGAGAGAGTGTGTGTGTGTGTGTCTGTGTATGCGTGCGTGTCGCACACGCACATTACACGCTCGCGAGAAGTACCATTGAAAATATCTATTCCAGCCTTTTAATTATTTCGCGTCAGCAAGCGTGTAGAATTTCGGACGTAACGCGATTTGTTGCTGGGCATACAGAGAAATTTAAATAATTAATTAGTTAAGTCACTCGCCAAGTACGAAGGTTCTAAGACAAGTTAGCGTTACTCTAGACAGTTGCTGTTACTCAATCAATAGCGGTAAGTGTCGTAAAAGTGGGGAAAACACGAGACTGGTTGGGAATTAGTTTAGAAATAAATCCTTTAAGGTGAACATTATATAATTATATAATTTCTAGCATGATGTAACGTCGTTGAATACACATGCTAGTTGACAGAAAAAAAAGACACGATACGGCGTAGCTTATTTGCGACCTTCATAACGACCTGATTTTATTCATCAATTTCAAAGACGGCTCCAACATAATATGTACACACACAACACAAACGCGCGACCCTCTGCCACACCCGGTGTCTCCACCTAGTGGCAGCCATCCGCAACTACCGTCACATTGGCGGTTGTCTTGAGCATAGATATCTATCTATACATGCAGACACACATACAATCAAGAGCGTATAAAGAAGGTAAGATAATATATCTTCTTTATACGCTCTTGATACAATATATATATATATATATGCATTTTAGGATATCTATGCTCTCTAAAAACCTCTTTCGCTAAGCCGACAATTATTGGGGGTCAAGTCAAGGTCAATATTGCGATTTTAGGTCAAGTAATATCCGCCATATACACACTTAACGTCATCATCATCATCATCATCATCATCATCATCATCATAATCATCATCATCATAATCGTCATCATCATCATCATCATCATATCATCATCGTCATATACACATAATATTTTGACATCGTAAAAACAAAAGAAATAATGCGGAAAGAGGCGGGGAGGTGCGTGGGTGGCTGCGTGAGAGGAGGGAGGAAGCAGAAACGCGAATTTTCCGTAGGCATACGCCGAATAAGCCCCCACAACATTGTACGTGTGTGCTTAAACTAATTTATAGTCGCTAATTAAGGCACGCTGATGCGTGCACCACGCGCTGGAGCACTCTCTCTATCTACCCTCTCTCTGCACCCGTGACTCCTCCGTCACCCCCTTCCTCCCCCGTCCTCACACACACACTACCCCACCGTCAATCCACATTCTAATAAACAAAAAACCTAGGGGTCAAGGGTTACTAGTTACGTCATCACCGAGTAGAGAACAATGCGCAGGAAACGCCGGTGTGCGTGTGCAGATATAGTACATCGTGTACGTATAGTGCACATAGTACGTGTATTATATATAGTATATAGGCGTTGTAGTATTATAGTAAACACGCGATATATAGTACATAAAGTACACATAGTAGGCCTACATATAGTACACATATAGTATATCTATTTAACCCCGATGCTGTGAGGTTGGGACGAAATAGAACAAACGATTAAGGGGTGTTCAAGAATTAACATCCTTTTTCCCACATCCGCTTACATTCATGTTAAAAACACACACTGTGCACACGCGCACCCCGTACACACGCGTATGAAAGTATTTTGTTATAGTTGGTTCTCGCTATAAAAATATCATTTATTACGTTTAATTCGCACGCTGTGAGAAGCCAAATAATTTTCATGTCACATAATATATAACATTTATTGACTTATTAACATGTATTTTTTCCATTTTACGTATGTGATGTGTACATCGTCGTTGTTCAAACGCATTGGTAACAATACTGTTGCTTCTCTGATTCCCACAGTAATAATTATTTCTGTCACAAAACGTCACTGACAGTTTTCAACTTGAGCGCGAAAGAAAAAAAGGTAAAGAACTACTACACCGTGTGTCACCCCATTAGCTACTATCCTTCCTACCCCCAGCGTAGCCTACTACTGTACATGACAAAACGTAGTAATACGAATGTAAATTCCTAATATAAATAATAGCAAAGGCGATATAAAAAGAGGGGGAGGTCGCTCCCTCGCCCTCCGGGGGGTAAAAAATAGATTCATCGTACCAAAAAAACCCACACGCATAGCTCTCTTTTTCGACATTTACACGGATGGCGCTACTGTCGCACACGCGGCGTTCACTTGTCTTCGACGCGCATCGTGCTAGCTGCCTCGTAAGCGCCATCTTCCGGATCTGGGTTGATGTTGATTGTTGTCACGTAGTCTGTGCCTGGGTCGTGACTTCCTTCTATCGAGGCTCCCTTGCCTGAAAGAAGACAAATGCTTCATGTGTATTCATGTATGTTTATGTATAGGCCTACTTATGTATATTTATGTATATTTGTTATTATGTGTATTACGAATGTTCATTTTAATCATATCATGCCCGATATTACCTATATGCCCACCCCTCCTATGATATGCTATTATATATATATATATATATATATATATATATGTGTGTGTGTGTGTGTGTGTGTGTGTGTGTGTGTGTGTGTGTGTGTGTGTGTGTGTGTATGCGTGCGTGCGTGCGTGCGTGCGTGTGTGGTTCTCTTTCTCGCTCGCTCACGCACACACTCTCTCTCTCTCTCTCTTTCGCTCTCTTTCTCTCTCTCGCACTCTCGTTCGTAACCCCTTCCCTTTCCCCCGCATCCCTCCTTCTTTCTCAGTGGCTCTCTCTCTTCGCTCTCTCCTCTCCTCGGTGTGTTTTTAACCCGCGTTCCCCCCGCATCCTTATTTCTTCTCTCGTCGCATCCCTCCCTCCTGCTACTCTCACAGCATCCCTACCTTCATCGGACGAGCTGACAGCACCACGGGAGCTGAAGCTCCCGTCGCTATCGCTCATGTTGTCGCTCGGCTCCACGGCTATCGCCACCGGCTTGGCTCTAGGGGGCGCCACCGGCGCGTTCAGCTTCGTCGTCGCCATCGGTGCGCCGTCGTTCGCCTTGCCGTTGGCGTGACCTTTAACCCCCAAATAAGTTATTACGTCACAATGGTTTCTCACGTGACCGTTGGCGTGACCTTTGACCGCCAAATACGTAGTTATTACGTCAATAAAGGTTTCTCACGTGACCGCTGGCGCGAGCTTTGTAGTTGTTAATGGAGACTGTTCGGTCGTAATCAATGTATTGAAATTCAATGCTGTGACAATACCCCGTAATCCATCTATAAAACTAGTCGCTAAGCCCGCCTGTGCCTAACTAACTATATTGCAGCAGAGAGAGATATACAATACTATATTACAACAATAGAGTTGAAACCATACCAACACGATTTAACCCTTTTTTTCATTGTTAACAATTAAATTTAAACATATTTAGTTAACAATTTAACAATTCGTTGAGAATTTAACGGGAATCGACGTGCGACGCGAAGATGAATCTATCAACATGATGTACACACCATTGGCGGGTGCCGCTACCACGGCAACAGGAGCAGCGGCGACAGGAGCAGCAGCCGTCGTCGTCGTCGTCGTCGCCACCGCCACGGACGTCGACGGACTGACGGACTCGTCCGCAACGAAGCCCTTGTTCTCGAACGGGTACATGTCTATGACGGCGTCCTTACCCAGTACCTCGTTCTACACAGCCAGGGGGAAAAGAGGAAGGGGAAAGAATGTAAGATGACAATAGCGCTGATGCAACCAGAGATAATGCGCGGAGAACGTCACTGTGTAACGCACAGGGGTGTGAATAACGGCTACTGTTCTGTCAGTCTCTGTTTCTACCGTCATTCCAATGAACGGTCAGTCACTCTACGTAGGGTCCGTCATTCTAATGTACGCTCTGTCACTTCAATGAACGTTCAGTCACTCCAATGAACGTTCAATCACTCTACGTATGTTCAGTTACTCCAAAGAACGTTCAGTCACTCTACGTATGTTCAGTTACTCCAATGAACGTTCGGCCTCGACTATGTAGGTTTAGGATGCCAGGAGACATTAAAATTCATGCTCGGCCACGATCGCAATCTCCAGTGCCTGGACACGTATTATAAAAATCTCACAGATAAATTACTAATAAAATAAAATAAATAAACCGTAAAAATCCGAAATTTAATCATCATCGACGGTAAAACGAATAAAACAAAATTTTAAAAAACCGAAATAAAAAAAAAACGAAAAAAGTCCACCGATCGCAGCCCCCCTGCCGTCATCGACTGCAGCGCCACCTACCTTCATTTTGAGTATGTGCGCGGTCTGTCGGCGGCGGTTGCGCATGTAGCTGCAAACGCCGACGAGAGCGAAGAAGATGGCGACGACGATGCAGGCGACGACGATGCCGATAGTCTTCTTCTCCTCGTCGGTGAGGCTGTCCATCATACCTGGCGGGGAGAGAGAGAGAGAGGGGGTGAGTTAGTGAGGGAGAGAGAGAGAGAGAGAGAGAGAGAGAAAGAGAGGGTGAGTTAGTGAGGGAGAGAGAGAGAGAGAGAGAGAGAGAAAGAGAGGGTGAGTTAGTGAGGGAGAGAGAGAGAGAGAGAGAGAGGAGAAGAGGAGAAGAGAGAGAGAGAGAGAGACGAGAACAGAAGAAGAGAGAGAAGAGGAGAGAGATGTCTATAGAGAGAGAGCAACAAGAGGCAGAGAGAGGAGGGAGAGAGACCGAGCACGGATGAGAGAGGAGGAGAGGTGCAGAGAGTTGGCCAGAAAGGAGTCAGAGGAGACAGATAGATAGATAGGAGAAGAGACGATTTAGGAGATTAGGAAGAGGCGGAACGGAGGCCGCGAGGAAGAAAGAGGGAATGAGAAACAGAGATGTATATAAAGGTAGATAGACAGAGATAGATTGGACAGAGACAGAGACAGAGAGAGAGAGAGAGCGCAGAAGCAGAGAAGAACTGACGACTGAAAAAAAGGGAGAAGAGAGAGAGAAAGACGCGAGAGAGACGGAGAGGAGGAGACGGAGGAGAGAGAAAGAGAAGAGAACGAGAGAGAAGAGAGAGAGGAAAAAGAGACGAGCAGAGAGAGAGAGATGAGGAAGCAGAGGAGGAGACAGAGAGAGAGAGAGAGAGTGCAGACAGTTAAGACAGAGAGAGAGAGACCACAATAACTTCGCTCAACTCAATGAATTGGCGCATATTGTGCACGCGGCAAATCGAAGATTCTCAGACACCGTAATTGACAGTAGACAGTGCTGCCATCTATACAGTCACACTTACTCTTATCCTTTTTGGGAGCGGAAGGCACGGGCGTGGTCGGTGCCATCAAGTCACCTGAAAAACACAAAAGACACGTCATTATGACCTCTGACCTTTATTACTGATGACTCTACCTACTACTTAAACGCACTCTCCTCATAAATAATTAAATAGCTGGCATTGTATGCGGATATTATAGAAGTATTTAATTGAAACCGTCACCGTTACGCCTAAAAGGGCATTACTGTCCCCTTAGGTATTGTTGTAACTTACCCTTAATTCTAACCCGGACCCTACCCCAAGGCTAACCATAACCTAACCCTACCCATAACATTATAGCTCTAACCACTAGTGCATACAAAATATCAGTCTTCTCCTTCCTGCAAAATGCAAAACACATAATAACACCGCCCTCTGTTACATCACTAGAAAACGCGCGAAGATGAAGAATTGCTAAAAACGAATTTTAATGCGTTGCCAACAGATGGCGCCACGCGGTTTGAAACTCACTGCTGCTGAGTAGCTTCAGCTGGAGCGTCTGCATGTCGACGCGCATGTTGCCAATGCTACCGGTGTTCGTCGCCTCCTGCCACAGCGTCTCATTGATCTCCCTGAGCTTCTCCTGCTTGACGACAGTCACATCGTCGACGAGCACGTCGTTCTCCGCGTCGTCACCAGGTGGCACCAGCATCACCTCGCTGCTGGCGACGACGAATCCAGGGTTCTTCTCCGAGCGACTGCGTGGCGGGAAAAGCAAATATGGCGGTTAGACGCGTGGCGAAAAATGAAATCTCTGATTGGTTGGGTGATGAGGGATAGAATAATGAATAATGTGTTTATCGGATGTGAGTGGAAACAGAGTACATATATATGTATATATATATATATATATATATATATATATATATATATATATATATATATGTATATATATATATCGGTGTGTGTGTGTGTGCGTGCGTGCGTGTGTGTGTGTAGCAGGGAATCTCACCTGAACTCTCTGACGCGTACGTTCTGAATTCCCTCCACCGATTGCAGCGTTTCCATCATCTGAAACCACACATAGAACATTATAGAGATAGTTATTATAGAGAGAACCTCATAGAGATAGCTGCTTAGAGGCGATCGAGTGGAAAAGGAAAGTACGATACTGTTACCTGCCAACAAACTATCACTCTATTGTATATGCTTAATTGATTCTGGACTGCATATGCTCTTTTGTTCTATATCACGCATGCTCAACTGTTTCCGCGCCACGCATGCTCAATTGTTTTCTAGACCACTAACGCTCACTTGTTTCCGCACCACGCACGCTCACTTATTCCCGTACGCCGAATGCTCATTTGTTTCTGCTTGGTCGATTTGCCTCCTAACACATGCTGATCCCTCTATGTTGCCCTCTACCGCGCATGCTCACTTGTTTCCCTCACCGCGCATGCTCACTTGATTCTCGCACCGCGCATGCTCACTTGTTTCCCTCACCAAGCATGCTCCCTTGTTTCTCGCATCGCGCATGCTCACCTGGTTCTCGATGTATCCACTCAGGTCCATGTATTCGGGTGTTTGTGGATTGAGAAGCTTCTCGCTCCACGGATACTCCTCCAGTTGCAGCTTCACTCCCACAGCAAACTCGCGCAGCGACGGGGGAACCCTGCGTGTGTGTGTGTGAGAGAGAGATGTATGAAGTTAGAGAGAAGGTCAGGGCAGAGAGATAGAAAGTGAGAGATCATGAGCGAGAGAGAAAGGGAGATATAGAGAACGAGGGAGAAAGAAAGAGAGAGAGAGAGAGAGAGAGAGACAGAGAGAGACAGAGACCAAGAGATAGATAGATAGATATAGAGAGTGATCGAGAAAAAGAGAGAGCGCGAGAGAGAGAAAATATTAAGGAAGAGCGAGAGAGAGAGAGAGAGAGAATGGGAGAGAAAGATAGAGATAGAGATAGAGATAGAGAGAGAGAGAGAGAGAGAGAGAGAGAAAGAAAGAGAGTGAGAGAGAGGGAGAGAAAGATAGAGATAGAGATAGAGAAAGAGAGAGAGAAAGAGAGAAAGAGAAAGAGAGAGAGAGAGAGAGAGAGAGCGAGCTAGCAGGAGAGTGATAGATAGACATATAGACACACATAGAGAGTGAGAGAGAACGTGTGTGAGAGAGAGGGGAAGAGAGAGAGAGAGAGAGAGAGAGAGAGAGAGAGAGAGAGAGAGAGTAATAGAGAAAGTGATAGAGAGAAAGAGAGAGAGAAAGAGAGAGAGAGAGAGAGAGAGAGAGAGAAAGAGAAAGAGAAAGAGAGAGAAAGAGAGAGTTAGAGATAGATAGACAGATGGATAGACATAGAGCAAACGAGAGAAGGCGATGAGCAGAAGACACTTACCTTGCTACCTGACTCGTGCTCTCCACGACCACTGTCTTCTGCGTTGTCGTGATGTTGACAGCTGACGGCAGCGTGAACACAGAGCTGATCGTCGAGTTGACAACAATCGGAAGCAGCACGGCGGGCGTTGTCTTGACAACTGCTGCACACAAGCAGACGCGCGCGCGTGTAAGAGTCTTACATTCGGATAGTCAGTCTCGCAGGGTCCCAGTCTCTTCCGGGGGAGGAGGGCAAGAGGGGAGGAGGGGAGGAGGGGAGGAGGGAAGGAGGGGAGGAGGAGAGGTAGAGAGGAGGGGGAGGGGAGGAGTGGTTAGATTTTTTATTTTGAATTAATATCGGAAACGGCGCAACTATTTTGGCTAGTATCGTAACACTATTTCGCTTTAATGTAAAGTTTTTACTTAGCAAGCTGTTAAGTTTTTTTTGTTAGTCTTTATTTTGTTTTTATATTTTAGCTCGGCGTCTAACCAAGACCAATCCTGTCCGATCTCTTTTCTGCTCGATAGATGGCGCCACTCACCTCTGCAGGACGGGATGCAGATCTTCTGCTCGGACACCATCGGGGTTTGCTCGTGTATGGCCAGGGTGTCGCCACGGAAACCGCCGCCACGGCGCGGGAACAAGAAGTAGTAGCAGTCGTCGGCAAACGACACGTCCTCAGTGGTGTCACCTGTGTCGCAGGCGCGCGAGAACCGCAGCGCCACCTGTCCGTCGGCGTACGTCGCTGCTCCGTCGACGTCCTGCTGGTGGTCGACCCACGGGTTGCCCTTGTAGCTCATGTAGGCGTCGAAGAGACGCGTGGCGCCCTCTGGGTTCACCCAGCCGAGAACGGCGTCAGAGTTGTCCTAAAAGTATATATATAGTATATATATAAGTATTGATATGTATGTATCATATTATATAGTATATTATTATATTATATATTATTATATATATCATATTATATATTATATATGGGGGAAGAGTTGCTGTTAGAATTCTGCGGAGGTGTGTTCGGCGGTTGAGGGGAAGTTATAGGATAGTATATAGATATGGATAGCTAGGGAAAGAATGGAGCAGTGTTGGAATCTATGGGGCGGTGAATACGTCGAGGTGGGATAGAGTTGATGGGGATGGGGTTGGTGGGCATGGATGGGGTTGGTAGGTGATTTGGTGGGGCTTGGAGATGGGGTTGGGTTGGTGGGGATGGATGGGGTTGGTAGGGGATTGGGTGGGACTTGGGGATGGTGTTGGGTTGGTGGGGGTTGGGTGAGGTTGGGTATGGGGTGGATGTTGCGAAGTGTTTTAAGAGGTTTTTGAAGTGTTATAAACAGTGGTTTGAGTACACATTTCAAACGTTTGATGCGTGGAGAAAGAGAGACAGAGAGGAAGATATTCCCTCACTGCCGCTAACTACCTGCTAGCTACCCCAGTGACATATCCAACCACGAAGCTTCCATAGCTTCTTCCCTTCTCCCCTTCTCCCTTCCTTCATGCTCACCATCGTCCTGTCCGTGGAGAAACCGATGCCAGTCCATCGTTCCCCGTTTGTCTGCGCAGCGATGTTGAAGTCAACGCCATCGATGTCCGGGTTGTACTGCCACGTGGCGCTGTAGTCGCAGTCGTCGACGCAACCGGCCGGGTACCTGTATTCACCGAAGTCACCTGCGCGAGAGAGAGAGGCAGGTGTTAAACTTCCACGCCACCTTGCACCAAACTAAACTTCCACGCCATCTTGTGGTTGGTCACTCTATTATACTTCTTTGGCGACTATATTATATTATATATCATACATTATATATTACAATATAAAATATTATACGTATAGACTGTATCATACGACTGCCTGACTGATTGATTCGACGTCACGTGACGAATAGAAGCTTCACAGAAACACAAGAACAGCGAAACAAAATGCAGCTTCCCAAGGTGACCTCTAACATCGCGGCCATTACCATCTTCCATGTAGGAGATGCACAGGCAAGACAGTATAGTGATAAAACTGTATCATTGAATGGACACTGACGATACAGAGGTGATAACGAAAACATACATTAAGCGCTGGGAGTAGATTTACATAATGTTCCAATGATATATAATAACCTAAATAACCTAGAATATATATATATATAATACACACACACATGTATATATATATATATATACTATAGAAATAACCACGACAACCGATCACAGAGACAAATCACGTCTCAGAAAACACCAATAATAGGTCAATAATAACAGATCAATAACAGTTTGACATCTGTTCTATAGCTCCTTCGTCTGTCGCCCCCACGTACGCCGTACGTCCTACGTCACGGCTTACCGCACGACGGTACGCAGACGGGCTCTGACGTCACGAACGGCGTCTCGTCGTGGTAACCGATCTCGGTGCCGTTGTAGGGGCCGCCACTGTACGGGTAGAAAAATCGCCAGCAGTGGCGCGCGAACGAAACGTCGTCGGCGTGCTCGGCGTCGCACGACTGCGAGAAACGCACCCTGGTGGCGCCGTCGTCGGCGGCCACCGACACGCGACGCATGTCGTAGGGAAACGAGGTCCAGTCGTCGCCCTTCTGGTGGATGCGTCTGCAAGGGCGGAGCGGTATCGTTGGAGGCAAGACAGAGAGAGAGAGAGAGAGGGAGAGAAAGAGAGACAGAGAGAAAGAGAGACAGAGAGAGAGAGAAAGAGAGAGAGAGAGAGAGAGAGAAAGAGAAAGAAACACACAGAGAGAGAGAGAGAGAGACAGCGAGAAAGAGAAAGAGAAATAGAGAAAGAGAGAAGTGGGGAGAGCCTAGCTTAACATCAAAGTCGACAGGGAATTGTTTCTTCTTGTTTAGCCTACGTGCTCAAACAGTTCTCAAGCGTTTAAAGACAGTTCTTAACCCCTGAGGTAAAAACCTGAAGTTTAAACCCAACACCGCACCGCACATTGAAACAGTGCTGAGACTGAATTGCAAGTGAGAAATAGGGACGTCAAGCGCAGCAAAAAGCTTATCCTGATTACCTCTCATTCAAACACTAACGGACACATGCTTTTGTCAAGGCACTTTCAACTATCTGCTGGATAATTGGTTTCCGCCCCACACCCAAAAACCTCATCGAGGTTTAGCTTCCCACCACCATAGCTGCCGCGCCCTGGTCACTCTAACCGACCACCCACGCATACGTATGTTCTGCTGCCCCCACACAAACACACCTGGGGAGCCGGACCCTGGTCAACCCAGCTAACCCACCATCACCGCGTACCTGTGTTGGAATACAGGCTGACCGGACTCGTCCACCCAGCCAACGACCGTCACCGTCTCCGCCTGAATCAACCAACGACACACACACACCATCGGCTCTTAGACATTCTCTCAAACACGGGTTTGTTTCTCTAGAGTCTGTTTGTGTTTTCTCAATGTAAAGGCTCTCGCGAGAAGCGCATGCGAAGAAGGTATCGTATGTGTTCATAGGTTACTTGCGACTTATGGCTTTTCATCGAGATTTATATAAAATTACGGATATTAACTCAGACAGTCGACCAAAATTTTCAGTCGACCGATTCAAATAATCGCCTTGGACATAGATTAATGTCATCAGATTGTTTTCCACAGAGTTACATAAGTCAAGAAGTCATAAGTTATAAGTCATAAGTCCAAGATTCGTGTTGTGGGATCATCGCCCAACACCGCTAGATATCGTATGACAAATTTTGCTCATAAATCCAAAGAAAGCACTTGCCCAAATGTTCACATAGGAGGCCGGTATAGAGGGAGCCACCTACCATGTGCTCATCGAGCGAGAAGCCGATTCCCGTGTAGTATTCCGGCGGCACCCGCGCGTCGATGTCGAAGTCGACGTCACGTGTGGCGCCATTGTACGCCCACGTGACCACGTACGTGCAGTCGTCGGTGGCGCAACCTAGCGGCCATCTCCAGCTGCCGGTGTCACCTGGCGGCAACAAGGGCAACGATGCACGGACGCCCCCTTGCGGCAACAAGGGCTACCATGCACGGACGCCCCCTTGCGGCAACATTGGCTACGATGCACGGGCATCCTCTTGCGGCAACAAGGGCAACGATGCACGGACGCCCCCTTGCGGCATTCCTGCACGTTTGTTTCCAACTACCGCACGACTATGAAATACTATAGCAGACTACGCGTGCCCGATGCAGGCACCCAGAAATAAAACTACCACCACCACCAGCACCAGAGCTACGCATCATGCATGTACGACTCCTGTCAATTCACCATTAAGGCTGCAGCAAGGAGTTGGGAGAAATCCAAACAAAGATGCGTCACAATTTCTTCACAACAATAAAAGCGCGAGGGATGCTCAGAGAGGATGAAGAATAATGCTTCCTGGTAGTTGCCATCAAGAACTATCTCCGCCATTATTGCATCCTCTCTACGATCATCAACAAGCAGACGAAAGCCAAAGAGAGAAGAACAGCGCTAAACGAAAAAATCCAGCCAAAGACGAGCGCGAGGAAACGTGCAACCAGATGGCGCCACTCGCAGCCATATCACTGTGCAGTGCATTGCGGGATATCGGCGGTAGCAGGCCAGTGAATTCTCTCAGTGCGTGAGCGAATGCCCTAGCAAAGCTGCAAAGCATTGCGGGATAATTTTGACCCGACAGCGTAACAACGCAGCGCGTGAAATGATGCTACAGGGATAGAAAACTGCAGGAGAAAAAAGCGAAAGCCACCATAGATTTGCTTAGGCGATCTACTCCCAAGTGAAGCCAAAAATAGTCGACGCATCCTTTTTCGCTGAAAACAATCTTGCTGAATTAGAATGATTAAAAGAGAACCGGAAATCTAAGGGAATACATGGTTGAGTAAAATGCAAGATGGCGACTGTGTACATACCAGGCAAAGTGGCTCTAGCAGCGGTGGTGACGTCAGTGGCAGTCAGCGTTGGAACTGGCTGCTTGTAAGCTGTCTCTGCTCGGAATGTGACCAGGGGCTCAACTGTTGTCTCAGGTTCTGCTGTTGTTTCAGGTTCTGCCGTTGTCTCAGGTGCTGCTGTTGTCTCAGGTTCTGCTGTTGTATCAGGTTCGGCTGATGTTTCAGGTTCTACTGTTGTCTCAGGCTCTGCTGTTGTCTCAGGCTCTGCTGTTGTCTCAGGTTCTGCTGATGTCTCAGGTTCGGCAGATGTCTCAGGTTCGGCAGATGTCTCAGGTTCTGCCGTTGTCTCAGGTTCGGCAGATGTCTCAGGTTCTGCTGATGTCTCAGGTTCGGCAGATGTCTCAGGTTCTGCTGATGTCTCAGGTTCGGCTGATGTCTCAGGTTCTGCTGATGTCTCAGGTTCGGCAGATGTCTCAGGTTCTGCTGATGTCTCAGGTTCGGCAGATTGTGCGCGCGCGCGCGCGCGTGTGTGTGTGTGTGTGTGCGCGTGTGTGTGTGTGTTCCTAGCAGGTCCTGCCCGTCCACGCCTAATTTGTGCGTGCGGGTGAGTCACCGGCTCTTGGTGAACTCGTAATGTAATTAGCGATGTGAGTTGACCCACCCGACTAGCAGCAATGACACACATATCTAGCCAATCACTGTTGCTGCAGGGCAAATCTAAAAACAATGCTTAGTAACGAGGTTGTCAATCAGAAAGGTCGTCATTTTATCGTGAAGGCATAAAAAACCTGATTACAAAATTGAATTCAAGATTGAACATGATAAAATAAGGAAGCTCTTGAGTGACCTTGTAACAATATCTAGGTGGTCGTGGTCATCTTTCTCAGACAGGTGTGTCAATCGGTAGTCGGGAGTTTAATGTTATGTTTAATGTTTTATGGTATTAGATGGTATAATTAGTGGTTTGCTATAGAAAGACGAGTCTAGCCCGATGTTTACATTTGATATGATAATGATTTTAGAGCCGAAGACATCGCCTGAACCTGAGACATCTGCCGAACCTGAGACATCTGCTGAACCTGAGACATCAGCAGAACCTGAGACCACGCACACACGCACACACGCACACAACACACGCGCATACGCACACACACGCACACGCACACGCACACGCACACGCACACACACACACACACACACACACAACACACACACACACGCACACGCACACACACACGCACACACACTTACGTGTCTCGCAGTTCACTCCCTCGTAGCCAACAATGCAGATGCAGCGATAGGGAATATTTAGCGATGCGACCTGTATCTGTGCCTGGCAACAGCCACCGTTCTGACAGGGATTCGACAGACACGGGTAGAGACCGAGGTTCGTGTAGTCGTAATCTGGAAGTTAAATTGACTACGTCACGAATTTTCTGTGGTGCATATTTGTAAATTTTTTGTGTCGATTTTTTTACATTAAAAGTAAGTACTAACGGGACTAAATGCGTCAAATTCTTACCTGATAAGATTGTTTCTCAACTAGTTAAAAATCCAAAAAACTTGGCCGATTTTTGATATTATGATCCTGACATTAATTGCTTGCTAAGGGCTATGTATGAGTCACGAGGGTATAACGTAAACCATAAAAAGTAAACAGAATTACTTACATTTTATAAAAAAAAGTGGAAATATTCTTTTTAGTTTTACTATTTACGGTGACGTAATCACTTTAAGCGCATCGAGAAGAAATGATCGCACGCATGTTAACGGACGCATTATATATTAAGACGATCAAATTTTGAGCAGTCTTTGAAATATTACAGGCGAAATAACATTGTTAAGAGCAGCCTAGAGAACTACTACAGCTATAGATGCGGTGGCTCTATAATGCGAACCGATTCCACAATGAAACACGGTGTCATTATATTTGTGACGCAAGTACGTATTTGAACGCTAATACACATGTTCTGAATGAATTGCACATGCGTTAGAATGCATGACCAATGTGTTTTCCAAAGTAACGTGTTTGACAAAGTAAAAACGAAATAAGAAAAAGATTCAAGACAACGGCATGCAAAACTAAAAAAAAACAACACATATAGCACATATAACACATATATAAGGCAGCACCAGATGAGACAATCAGCAGCTCCAACATGCGGTCGCCATTCGCCTTAGCAATACACACTAGCTGCAGCAGTGTTAGATACTCAGCAGTTCCCCTTGTTGAGCTCCCTCCCTCTTAACTCTGACCACTGCTCGTTTGACAGCTCGTCATACCTGCTTCGCCGGCTGTTGTCGCTGCCGACACATGTGTCTCCGTAGATGCACGATCCGTCGACGATCCAAGGTCATCGTTCACAGAAAGATTCTCCGTAATTTCGGTAGCGGCCATGTTGCCGTGACTCCACGACGTCACCGTTGCCATGGTGACCGTAGGTTCGTCGGCCATTGCGAGCGTGGTTTGAACCGGAATATGACTTACTGACGTCATGTTGACGTCGGTGTCAACTATTTCAGTCGCAGTGTTACCAAACTCTTCATTTGGAGACGTAGAAGATGACATAGTAACCATTGTTTCGTTTTTAATCATTGCTGTTATACTTCCCGTGGGGTCATCGGTCATGGCAAGGGTAGATTGAGCAGAGACTTGACTGGACGATGTCGCGGTGGCGTTGGTGTCAGTGGCTGTTGTGGTCGTGGTGAATTCCTCATTTAGTGACATATCATTTGTCGTATTCACGGTGTCTGCCGCCATCATTTCAAGTTCAGTGTGATTCGTGGCGTCAGCCAATGACGTCACAGATGTCTCAGTGGCCGCCATTTCTGTTACATCACTGCGCGTAGTTGTCTGTGATGATGTCAACTGTTCTTGCGTAGTTGTCATGGGATCATTAGTAATTGCGGTGGCGTTGTGATCGGCAGACGCTGGGAACATTGTACGTTCATTTGTTTCTTTCATATTTGTGCTGTTATCGGGAAGGGCAGCTGGTGACGTCACTGGGGCGGCGTTTTCCATTGGTTCAGTATCAGATGACGTAGATGACTTGCGATAATGCGTTACTGCCTCATTTGGATTTGCTGTTATGACAACATAGATTTCTACCGTGTGTTATAGACATAGAGGAGTGACCAGAAACAGCTACAGAAAACATATACACATCTTATCAGAGGAAAAACCACATGCAAAAGTGTGTCTGAGAGAGAGATAGAGACAAACCAAAGAGGAGGGCTATTGCATTCATGCAGATTTTAGGAATTTCTAATTTTACAGTAAACTATCTACAGAATCTATAAAACTCAAACGAGTGGCAAGTAGTGAAATCAACGTAAAATTGAACTGAGTAAAGACGTACTAACAAAGTAATTAAAAGTCAATCGACGGTAAAAACCAACTAAAATCACAAAAAGTGCAGAGTGGACAGACACTAGCACGCCAACATATAACCGTGTCGTAAGTTTTCCTGTTGAAATAGAACGCATAGCTTACCGAGTTCGACAGGAAGCAGCGATGCATTCTGGGACTGTCCGTCGTTGATGGAGGCGAGGACATCTGGTTGGATATCGCAGCCTCCGCGGTGTAGCATGGTGACGTCATTACCTGCACAGCAGACGACGAACATTGATGAGCGATAGATGGGAGAAAACCGCCCACGCAAAGCGATAAAATAGGAAAGAAATTAAAAACAAAAAACACGCGAGCGAAGCTACAATAGGTGGTTACACCTTGTAGTTGTGCATGTTTTTGTAAGCCTTCCTCGGCTCTTGACGTGCTTCCCTTACGTTAGTTTGACAACGACTGTGTCTCAATTGGTTTCTATCAGTCGGGGAGGAACACTTGTAAGCATGCATGTCTTCGTGCAGAAATACATAAACATGACGATCGACCGAGAAACCACAGCGCCCTCTGTCCTCGCGCACAGACGTACCGAGAACGTCAGCGAGACAAGTGAGCATGCACTCGTTGCTGTACGTGCTGCCATCTGTGCCGCATACAGGCGCCTGCTCCTGACTGCAGGTGGTCAGGCAGACAGAGATTGGAGGGGTCTCCGTGGTGGGAGCGGCCGTTGTTGATGTTGTGAGGCTTTCGCACGCTCCGCGGTGAAGCAACTTCGTTGGGGCTGCAAATTAGAGAGATTATTCATTATTCATTTAAACGATCAATCGAATTAACCCACCAATCGATTGATCAATCAATCAATCGATCGAGCAATCAATCCTTCAATCAATCTATCAATTATTTATTGATTCATTCAATCAACCAATAAAGCAAGCAAGCAAGCAAGCAAGCACTCAAGCTATTATTGAGTGAATACCGAATCAAACTGACTGTTATGCAATGCCTTGGAAACATAATTGTAACGATGATGACAATGACGAAAAAGATGGTAAAGAAAACGAAAAAAAACGTAGAACAAGAAGCGACTTATCATCACATGTATCACACGTGCGTATATGGATCACGTCTATTACCTGTCCCGAGGTCGTACTGATTGCAGTACAGGTAGCATTCGTTCTCGTAGGTGTTTCCGTCCTCGCCGCACACCTGTCCGGAACTGTCGTGCTCACAGCCACGCAGGAAATCGCAGGTGTCGTGGGCAGGTGTGGTGGGACGTACGGAAGGACGAGTGATGGGAGGCGTGGTCGTAGTATGTGTTCCACAAGCACCGCGATGTTGCAGCTTCACTTCACCTGTGAGATCGGACAAATCAAAGCAAAGTTAAGGATTTGCGTTCGAATCCGCAGTTTTCATTCACAACATCGGGATTTAGTAATACCCTGGAAAGTCGAGAAATCAATGTAAAGTTATTGATTTAGGGTCGAGTCGCCAGTTCTCAGTCAAAGCATGGAATGGGCGTACAGAATCAGTGATTTGCGATTGACTCACGAGTTTTTAACTCACTGTTTCGGGATCCGCTCCCGATAACCTGGGAGCCGTGTCCTTGAAACGCCGACAGCGCACACACGATGTTGTGAAGCTGATTTCCACGTGTAAACAGATGGAAATGACATGAAGCCATTA